ATCTTCAAAAGAAACATCTTGATTGAAAAGAAAGGCAAAAAGCGAGCTCTCTGCCCACCGCTGAGCTTTGAAAATGTGGTGCCAGATCTTCAAAAGCAGCTCTCATTGTCTCCTGAACAGGCGTGGGCGTGTGTACATTCCCCATTGTTCTCCACAGGACCCACTGGGTACTTAGCTTAGCCCACTGCAAAATTGAAGCTCTAAGCAAGATCCACATTAGACACTCGTAAGTGAATGGGGTATGCATCTTTCGAAGCTCAGGTCAGGAGCCACCCTGGTACAGAGCTGGCTGGCAGAAAACAGCCGTGCTTGTCCTGGTCCTGGGTCCAAATTATGTGTGTATGTATGTATTTATATGTCTGAATGCCATCACAAGCGTGTGAGGGCAGAGAACAAGAACTGGAAAAGAGTTTGCCGCTTCTGCCTGCACAGACAGAGCATGTGTGTGTGTGTTTGGTACTGAAATACAGACGTGACATTGGTGAAATAAGCTGGGCCTTTTTGGCAGAACTGGGACATAATGATGGACACATGAAGGTAAGCAAGAGCAGATCCCCTTAATGTCTCCATGTGCCTGGCTCATCAGTTGGATCCCAGAGGACTTTTTCCTTACAATGCTCTCCTTGCTCTGCCAAAAAGCCATCCATTGTATTGCTACACTTGGTAACTAAAAGAGACAAAAGTCTTTATAATGTGGGATGTGCTCAGGCATCACCTTGAGGAAAGCCATTGAAAAATGAAGACAGACAGATAGCTCGATGAATATGACAGAAACAAACAGGATCTCCTTCCAAAGCACCCACTTCACAAAAACCAGCATCATACTTGGTACTAACTATTCCTGCCACACCTCTAGTTGAACAGGCCCATTTTTGAACAGGGCAAGAAGTGTGGAAAGTCCTCTCATCGTTATGACTGCCAGGCTGGCTCCCTGAAACAGCAGTAAAGGCCCGATCCTGCACAGTACTCAGGCCAATGAGACGGGAGTGATCAGGGCCTCACAGGATGGAGTACTAGGGCTGCGGTTTATGAACCAATGCTTTGGTTCCAACACACTTTAAAGTAGTGATTCCCAAAGGATGTGCCAAGGCATACTGGTGTGCCACATGAGCAACAGAAACATGCCTTCAGATCCCCCTGCATGAGGAGGTAAATCCTCTTCTCCCCCACCCAACACCCTAAGCCTGTCCCAACTACTCCAGGTCCCAACTACTACTACTGCAACTGCTCCTCTGGAGACT